TCCAAAAATTTACTATAGATTTAAAGAGTTAAAAAATTAAATATAGATTTAAAAAAAAAATAAATGTAGACAGATGTCCATCAAATACAACCTCTATCACTGAAATGTAAAAAAAGTAGTAGTAATATATAAAAAAAAGTTATAAATAAATATACAAAAAAACTTTGTCCTTTTGTCAGGAATTTGAAATCTTCGGTCCTTTCCTTTATTTTTTAATGTACAGTGCTGGATGGGATGCTGATGCCTTACAAATAATGGATAATAATAATATAATAATAATAATAGTAATATAATAATAATAGTAGTAATAATAATAAAATAACAATGGTAGTAATAATAATAATAATAATGGTATTTTTCAGCAATATATGTAATGTGATATAGCAATTTTTTCTTTATTTTTTTTAGGTATAATTTTAAAGCGAATCAAACAAATAAATACATTGTGTGAAAAAAGAAGGCATTTCATTATTTTTTTTTTAGAAGTTTGCAGCTGGCATCTCATAATCCTATGGTGGCCACTCTGCCTAGATCTCATTTTGCTAATTGGCTGCATTATTGCTAACATTGGTACAAAGTAAGGGGGCACCGAGTGACCCCCACAGTGCCAGGGAAGGATGAAGAAGGAAACGTTTCGATGTGCAAAATAAAGACGCATTTTGTGTTTTCCTCTTAAAAGAGAGTGTTGGACAGTAGGCCATGCCAGCGAGCACAGGCCTGAGATGTTTCAGGCTGAAAACTAGATCCCGATGGATAGGGGGAGTAAAAGGATACTACAGCTGTACAGTACTCGGATCTATAGAGCCACTGTTTTCTGGGTGACCCTAAAGGTCAAAGGTGAAGGGTTTCCCAGGAACGTCTTTGATGGGGGACGTCTTTGATGAGAAAGGAGTCTCTGTACAGATGTCCCACAATTAGCATGAGAATGTGGAGCACATGCTCGAAAAGTGTAGCAGAGACGGACAGCTTTAATGGAATTTAATTAAAACTGCCACATTCTTCTACGTTCCATTTTTATGAGCCCCCCCCCCCCCCCCATCACAGAAACACACAAACTGGTACCACCTTGTTTTCCGTGTTAGCGTCCACTTCGTGTCTCACACTCTCCGTAACCCTCCTGGAACTGACCCCTGCCAGTTTAGCTATAGATATTCTGAGAGGGATGCCAGTGTGAAGCTGGTATATTCAATTGATAGAAGAAGAAAAAAAAAAAACGGATCCCACAACTTCTAAACTTATAGGAAAAAAAGAAAAAAAAAAAAATCAAGGAAATTGGAAAAGTAGAATTTTGTTTTTTTTTTTTCGTAAGTAACAGCTATAAAATGTACAATTTACCATTTTTTTTGCTTCAATAACTATTTGGGTTTTTTTTTTCTATAATTAAATCTACGCCACAGTATTCAGCAGCTTTCCAATGAAAAGCTATTCATAATTACCGTATATTAGTCATTTTCTGTTTAGAAAAAATAAAAAATCTATCTATCTATCTATCTATCTATCTATCTATCTATCTCTCTATCTATATATATATATATATATATATATATATATATATTTAAATATATATATATACACACATGCATTATTATTATTATTATACAGGATATATATAGTGCCAATGGTGTGCTCAGCGCTTTACAAAAGATATATGATATATATATATATATATATATATATATATATATTTTTTTTTTTTTTTTCAAGAACGCTAACTAGATAATCCACAAATAAATAATTATTTCAAGAACTGTATTCAGCAGCTTTCCAATGAAAAGCTATGCATAATTATATTAGTCATTTTCTGTTTAGAAAAATAAAAAATCTATCTATCTATCCATATATATATATATATATATATATATATATTTAAAAAAAAAAAAATATATATATATATATATATATACACATGCATTATTATTATTATATACAGGATATATAAATAAGTTAATATGTATAAGAGCTATTCAGAATTATATTAGTCATTTTCTGTTTAGAAAAACTGAAAAAGAAATATCTATCCATATATATATATATATATTTTCTTTTTAAACATATATATATATATATATATATATATATATATATATATATATATATAAAAGACACACATGCATTATTATTATTATAGAGGATATATATAGTGCCAACAGTTTGCTCAGCGCTTTACAAAAAAATATATATATTTTTGGTTTTTTTTTTTTAATTTTCAAGAAGGCTAACTAGAAAATCCACAAATAAATAACTCTTTCAAGAACAAAAAACTGTTTCAAGAACAATTTAAAAAAGAGTTTCAAACATTTGTATATACAATGTTAAGGCACCTCTGTAAAGTATGGTCCTTAACTCAAAGCTATTTGAGTTCTGAACTATTGGACATATATAGGAATGCATTAATTAAAAACAGTCTTAACTGCAGATGTCACTCTCTAAATAAATATCCAAAATAATAACAAATGCAGAAAGTAGCTCTTTAAACAATAAATAAAATAATCTTTAATGATTAACATTTTTGCTTTCAAATCAGGTTGAATTGACTGAAAAGTGCAAATTATTATTTGTACAAACCTGTACCTCTTTTTTGTTCAATGTGTTTTTATTAATAAAGTTTTTCACCACAAAATAAAAAGTATAAATAAGTTTGTATACATCGTAAGGCACCTATTTTTTTTTCTTTTTTTAAGACTTTTGCTGTAGAGTGTTGGGTGGAAGATACCGAAATACTTTTCAAAATTAATACTGGGACATTTTCAAACTGTAAAGAGTAACAGTTGGGAGCTGTTAGTTGTCTAAAACTTTTCAATGTGTACTGCTCTTAATAATAGTGATTTGTATGTTAAAAGGTTGTCAAATATACTGCCAGTCAGTAAAGGCAAAGAAAATGTTTCCCTAGTTAGTTTAGTTAATTAATCAATTAATGAATGAATTGATTGACTGGTTGATTGATTGATTTGTACAGTCACAACACAGGGGTGTGGGTTTCCCTGTTTTCTTTCTCTCTCTGTTCTAGCTATCTATACACTGTCCATATATATATATATATATATATATATATATATATATATATTATTCATATATTTAAATTTTTTTTTACTTATATTATGTGCTTTTTTAATTTCATTTCATTTTTATTTATTTTATTTTTAGAAAATAGTTTTAACATTAAAGACTGTATAAGCTCCATGAAAGCTGTAGAAATGAGCATTTACTATAGCTAAAGGGATTATTTCAAAAATGTTTTTGTTGTGGTTTACTTTTCATTTTTGTCTAGCTCACCAACACACTCATTTTAAACACCCAATGAAATTCAGATAAATTATATTTTTGTCATTCTCCCTATTAGATTATTTAACAAACACACAGATGCATTGGACCTGAGTTAAAAAAAAAGTTTTTTTTTTAATTCTTCTAACTTTATTAGTTGCTTTTATGAAGTCATGGATACACTTGAACAGAGTAAGAATGAAAAATATCTGAAACAGTGAGCATCTAATGTCACCAGCACAGTCCTAGGAAACAACGCCAATCTGGTAAGAAAAAAAAATGCTTAAAATTCTAGTATAGTTATGGAAAAAAATCTCAGGAAAGCCCACCAAAATGGGGAGGAGGACCAAATTCCATGCAGATACTCCACTCTTATTTCTTATGATAATAATAATAATAATAATAACAATTTAAAAATAATGGAAAATAATATTATGAATAATAATACTACTAATAATAATTTAAAAATAATGAAAAATAATATTATGAATAATAATACTAACAATAATAATAATAATAATAATAATTATTATTATTATTATTATTATTATTAATAATAATAATATGTTAAAAATAATGGGAAATAATATTATTAATAATAATACCAATAATAATAATAATATTAATAATAATTATTATTATTATTATTAACAATAATTTAAACATAATTAAAAATAATATTATGAATAATAATACTAATCATAATAATAATTATTATTATTATTATTATTATTATTGTGATTATTATTAGTATTATAATTATGTCTTCTTTAAAATCAGCATTTAAAATGCTAAAAAAAAAAAAATGTATAAAAGCATCCTTTTAGCATTAGCAGTGTACTCAATTCATATTTAATAGTTTACAACTGACTTGTAGTGCAGTAAATTCTACTGTGTGTATAAAATTTATAGAAATGAATATAGATACATTTAATAATGGTGCCTTAAATACATTTATGAGCTATAATTAAATAATCTGTAATATAGGACAACCCACCACCGTCCTCTTTTTTAACTACCTAATGACCAATACCTGTAGCACCCAGCCAGAAATCAGTTGTCCTAAATATAAAAGCTACTTTATTATTGGCTGCCAAAGGTTCCAAATGCTGTTTGCAGCCGTAAAGCGGTAATAAACCCAAAAGCAAAAATTTATTATATTGCAGCTTACAAATTCTTACATGTGATGGCTGCATTAGTTTCCTTTTTTTAGGCATTATTTCTTCTATTTTCATCTGGTGATCCAGCCAGTAAGTCTGTTGATTTTTAAAAGAACAAGCTCTCCAGCTGTTCAGCAGAATGTATCACTTTAAATGGATGAAACCACATAAAGCGTTAGTAAACCGCATCCAGAATAAAAACTGATTACAAAGTATGAACTGGAGTTTGACGCCAATTTGTTAGTGTATTTAAATCTGCTAATACATTTAACCCTACTCCATCCCCACATTAAAAATGCTGCTGTTTGCTGTGCCCCCTGTGCTCATTCATCCAGAGTGGTGTCTTACTAACACAGGAGGTGTGTTACTGGCCAGATCAGCAGGTGAAGACAGTGGGGGAAAAAAGTAAAAGAAAAAATGCATGCAACCATCACGTCTAATGATTGGTAAACTGCAATACAATGCTTTTTTGGTTTTGGGTTTAAAGTGTTACTAAACCCCGGACCCTGCATTCACTATGTCCTGTCTCCCCGGACCCCACATTCACTATATCTGCTCTCCCTGGACCCCACATTCACTATATCTGGTCTCCCCGGACCCCGCATTCACTATATCCGCTCTCCCCGGACCCCGCATTCACTATATCCGCTCTCCCCGGACCCTGCATTCACTATATCCGCTCTCCCCAGACCCTGCATTCACTATATCCACTCTCCCCGGACCCTGCATTCACTATATCCGGTCTCCCCGGACCCTGCATTCACTATATCCACTCTCCCCGGACCCTGCATTCACAATATCTGGTCTCCCCGGACCCTGCATTCACAATATCTGGTCTCCCAGGACCCTGCATTCACTATATCCGCTCTCCCCGGACCCCGCATTCACTATATCCGCTCTCCCCGGACCCCGCATTCACTATATCCACTCTCCCCGGACCCCGCATTCACTATATCTGGTCTCCCCGGACCCTGCATTCACTATATCCGCACTCCCCGGACCCTGCATTCACTATATCCGGTCTCCCCGGACCCTGCATTCACTATATCTGGTCTCCCCGGACCCTGCATTCACTATATCTGGTCACCCCGGACCCGCATTCACTATATCCGCTCTCCCCGGACCCTGCATTCACTATATCCGCTCTCCCCGGACCCTGCATTCACTATATCCACTCTCCCCGGACCCTGCATTCACAATATCTGGTCTCCCCGGACCCTGCATTCACAATATCTGGTCTCCCCGGACCCTGCATTCACAATATCTGGTCTCCCAGGACCCTGCATTCACTATATCCGCTTTCCCCGGACCCTGCATTCACTATATCCACTCTCCCCGGACCCCGCATTCACTATATCTGGTATCCCCGGACCTTGCATTCACTATATCCGCTCTCCCCGGACCCTGCATTCACTATATCCGGTCTCCCCGGACCCTGCATTCACTATATCTGGTCTCCCCGGACCCTGCATTCACTATATCTGGTCACCCTGGACCCCGCATTCACTATATCCGCTCTCCCCGGACCCTGCATTCACTATATCCGCTCTCCCCGGACCCCGCATTCACTATATCTGCTCTCCCCGGACCCTGCATTCACTATATCCGCTCTCCCCGGACCCTGCATTCACTATATCCGCTCTCCCTGGACCCTGCATTCACTATATCCTGTCTCCCCGGACCCTGCATTCACTATATCCGCTCTCCCTGGACCCTGCATTCACTATATCCGCTCTCCCCGGACCCCGCATTCACTATATCCGCTCTCCCCGGACCCTGCATTCACTATATCCGCTCTCCCTGGACCCTGCATTCACTATATCAGCTCTCTCTGGACTCTGCATTCACTATTGGTCTCCCAGGACCCTGCATTCACTATATCTGGTCTCCCAGGACCCTGCATTCACTATATCTGGTCTCGCCGGACCCCGCATTCACTATATCCGCTCTCCCTGGACCCTGCATTCACTAGATCTGGTCTCCCTGGACCCTGCATTCACTATATCCGCTCTCCCTGGACCCTGCATTCACTAGATCTGGTCTCCCTGGACCCTGCATTCATTATATCCGCTCTCCCCGGACCCTGCATTCATTATATTCGCTCTCCCCGTACACATCATATGGAAATACAATTATTTTCGTAAATATAAACTGCTAAATACCTTTTCCCATCAGCAGTATATAGCAGTCTTGTGACTTCTATCAGTGTCCAGCTGAGCACTGGTTAAAGATTGTAGGAGGAGTTTTCATTCTGCCCTAGGAGGATGCAGAACCCCTAACCTCTGTCTGGGCAGTGCTGATTGGCCCTGTGATGATCACATGCACTCCACCAAGAAAAAAAAAACCTCTCTAGCAATACACAGCAAACTGACCATGTGCAGCTTTCCCCCAAAGCTCTGTTCTATCAGGAGATGGATTGGGGACTGTTGAAGAAGGGGAGGATCAGAGAAGACAGGATCAAACCGCCTTTTTACACAATGCAGAGGATTAACCCCTTGGGTTCCACAGTGAGTATAACAAGCATGCTTTACTGCATCTACAGACTGATTGTACTGTTGGGGGTTCAGGAACTCTTTAATCCCGCTGTAATGTGTATGGAAACCCTGACAGTGAACTTCTCTTATAGATTCCCTTTTGGTTTATTAAATATACCATCCACGTGTGATTCACATTAATATTCACAGTCCGGTCAGTGAAATTTCCTTCCAGCAGACGTGTGAATCACATGTTTGATTGTTAATGGCACCTCTGCTCACCGGCAAACGTGTTCTCACATCACAACCCCCCCGCCTTTATATCACAGCCCCCCTTCACATCAAGATCCCCCCAATTGCATCACAGTCCCCCAATTCACATCAGTCCCCCTTCATAGCGGTGTCCCTTCTCTACCCCTTCATATCACCCCCCTTCACCTTACAGTCCTCAGCCCCCCCTTCATATTCCTGTCTTCTGCCCCCTTTATAGGGGACTCCCCACAAACCACCCCGGTTCACATTCCTGTCCTCACCCCCTTTATAGCACCCCCCTTCATGTTGAAGTCCCCAGCCCCCCTTCAGATTGCCCCCCTCACATTCCTGTCCTCGCACCCTTTTATATCACACCCCCATTCGTATTGCAGTCTCCAGCCCCCTTCTTATTCCTGTCCACACCCCCTTTATATCACCCCCCTTCTCATTGCAGTCCCCAGCCCCCCTGTACATTACAGTCCTTAGCCCCCCATCATATTGCAGTCCCCAGCCCCCCTTTACATTACAATCCTTAGCCCCCCATCACATTGGAGTCCCCAGCCCCCTTTACATTACAGTCCTTAGCCCCCCATCACATTGCAGTCCCCAGCCCCCCTTTACTTTACAGTCCTTAGCCCAACATTACATTGCAGTCCCCAGCCCCCCTTCATATCACCCCCCTAACATTCCTGTCCTTGCACCCTTTGATATCACCCCCCTTTACATTGCAGTCCCAGACCCCCTTTACATTACAGTCCTTAGCCCCCCATCACATTACAGTCCCCAGCCCCCCTTTACATTACAGTCCTTAGCCCCCCATCACATTACAGTCCCCAGCCCCCCTTTACATTACAGTCCTTAGCCCCCAATTACATTGCAGTCCCCAGCCCCCCTTCATATCACCCCCTCACATTCCTGTCCTCGCACCCTTTTATATCACCCCCCTTCGTATTGCAGTCTCCAGCCCCCCTTCATATTCCTTTCCTCACCCCCTTTATATCTCCCCCCTTCACATTGCAGTCCCCAGCCCCCCTTTACATTCCTTTCCTCACCCTGTTTATATTACCCCCCTTCACATTGCAGTCCCCAGCCCCCCCTCATTCCTGTCCTCACCCTCCATGACAGACCCAACCCCGACAGGGGCTTTTGGAGGGGACTGCAGGCTAGCCTATTGCCTACTGACCATGGCTCTGGCATCTGGGGGGGCTCTGTTCTTTGGCGTATGCCTGGGGGGACCTGTGGAGAAGTTTACTTCAGATTCAAGTCCAAAGGTCCCCACATTACAGTTCTCAGCCCCTCTTCAGATTGTATTCCCCAGACCCCCTTCATATTCCTGTCCTTACCCCCTTTATATTACCCCCTTCACATTGCAGTCCCTAGTCCCCCTTCACATTACAGTCCTCACCTGCCCTTCACATCCCTGTACTAACCCCCTTTATAGCACCCCCTTCATATTGTGGTCCCCAGCCCCTCTTCATATCACTCCCCTCACATTCCTGTCCTCGCCCCCCCACCTTTATATCACCCCTTATTCACATTGTAGTCCCCAGCCCCCTTTCATATCCCTGTCCTCACACTCTTTATATCACCCCCCCTCACATTCCTGTCCTTTCCCTCCCTTTATATCACCCCTTCAAATTGCAGTCCCAACCCCCCCCCCCCCTCTTTATGTCACCACTCCCTTTACATTCCTGTCCCCACCCCCTTTATATCACCCTCCTTCACATTGTAATCCCCAGCCCCCCTTACATTACAGTCCTCAGCCCCCACTTTCACATTAAAGTCCCCAAACCCCTTTCACATACCTGTCCTCACCCCCCTTTATATTACCCCCTTCAGGTTGCAATCCCCAGCCCCCCTTCATATCACCCCCCTTTACATTACAGTCCCCATCCCCTTTATAATATCCCCTTCAGGTTGCAGTCCCCAGCCCCCCTTCATATCACCCCCTTTACATTACAGTCCTCACCCCCTTTATATTACCCCCTTCAGGTTGCAGTCCCCAGCCCCCCTTCATATCACCCCCCCTTTACATTACAGTCCCCACCCCCTTTATATTACCCCCTTCAGGTTGCAGTCCCCAGTCCCCCTTCATATCACCCCCTTTACATTACAGTCCTCACCCCCTTTATATTACCCCTCCTTCACATTGCAGTCCCCAATCCCCCTTCATATCACCTCCGTTCACATTCCTGTCCCCACCCCCTATATATTATCCCCCTTCACATTGTAGTCCCCAGCTCCCCTTACATTACAGTCCTCAGTTTCCCCCCTTTTACGTTGAAGTCCCCAAACCCTTTCACATTCCTGTCCTCACCCCCCCTTTTATATTACTCCCTTCACGTTGCAGTCCCCAGCTCCCTTCATATCACCCCCTTTAGATTACAGTCCTCACCCCCTTTATATTACCCCTCCTTCACAATGTAGTCCACAACCTCCCTTCATATCACCTCCATTCACATTCCTGTCCCCACCCCCTATATATTATCCCCCTTCACATTGCAGTCCACAGTCCCCCTTCACCCCTAGCTGCCCCCCTGTCCTTGATAGCAATGACATAGCCCTCTTCCCTGTCCTAACCTACACAAATATGTGACTGGAAGTAAGTGGAGACCTCTCCAAAATGAGGGGGCACCCCCTCTTAAGCCTAGTACACGCGATGAAAATATTGAACAGAATAAAATGCATTTGGAGCGATCGTCCGATAATCGATTGACCAAGACCACACATGCTCAGAAACAAAAGAATACGTTACAATACAATACAATGCATTACATCACTTCCGGAGTTGTATTCTGTCTTACAACAATTTTCGTACCTTTAGTATCCTCTTAATTTTCTATATGAAACTAGTATGCAAAAAAAAAAATCCTTCGTCCGATATTCTCATCGTGAGTACTAGGCTTTAGACGGTTGTCACCAGAATAGGTTCTCAACGCTGGAAGATTTCCCTTCACTTCCTCTCCTAGACATATGGCAGGAAGTCAGAGGAGATCTCCCAAAAATGAGGGGACATTCCCACTTAGACAGTTGTCACCAACAGGGGCGGACTGACCATTTGGAAACTCGGGCACTGCCCGAGGGCCCGGGGTCAGTAGGGGGCCCCATGAGATGCCCCTGGTACCTTTTTCATAGGCTTTTTTGAGTTTGGGCAAGGACATGGGGGCCCCATGATCCCCTATTGCCCGGGGGCCCCATGAGTTGTCAGTCCGCCCCTGGTCACCAATATAAGTTTCAGTTCTGGAAGATGTTCTTCACTTCCTCCCCTAGAGACATGGCAGTAATTCAGAGAAGATCTGCCCAAAGTGAAGAGACATCCCTCTCAGTTGTCACCAGAACAGGTTTCAGTTGTCACCGCAACAAGAAGTGAGAGAACTTCACTGAAGTGAGAGAACTTCAAGTACTGAAGTACTTGAAGAGTTTTTCTCACTTCTTGTTACGGTGACAACTGAAAAATGTTGGTTTGTCCTTCACTTTCTGTATTTGAGGCAATGTTCACCAGTACCAATACTTAGATCTCTACAACGGGGACAAAGACAACAGTAAAAACTTGACAAATGGGGGTTTATTTACTAAAGGTGGAGAGTCCAAAATCAGACTCCCTTCTGCATAGAAACCAATCAGCTTCCAGGTTTCATTGCCAAAGCTTCATTGAACAAGCTGAGGTTAGAAGCTGATTGGTTTCTATGCAGAAGGGAGTCTGATTTTGGACTCTCCAGCTTTAGTAAATAAACCCCATATTGTCACTCTTCCACATTCTATCTCGATAAAAAAAAGTTTTGGTTTGAATACACTTTCAAGACTTTGTGAGATTTTAGTGATTATTTTTACATATTTACATTAATATGATATAGCAAACAATGAGCAGTAAAGGTTTCATAAAAAATGACTTTGAGGGATCTATTGTAGCGGCGACTCATATGTCCTAATTGAAAGTATATTCTGTTTTTCTTTAATAATATTAGGATGGTTTCTTCGAAAAAGAGGTTCAGATGCACCCATGCATGTATAATGCATTGTAAGGACCCAGGGGCTCATCGGACACTCTCCCACGATGGTGAATGCTGGTTTATGGCTTGTAGTGGCTACTCCACAGTCTATACGAAACTGTCCAGTGCACAAATCAATGTGACACCTAAAGGAAAGCACATCTGTAGGTGGAAATCTTCCCAGGCTGAGAAGATAGGAAGAGTGAGAGAGTCCTCCGGTAGGTTTCCCATCCTTAGATGGAACCATCTCGGGGAAGACAATTGAGGCAATAACCTCCTCAAGCAAATGGCTTGCAAAGTGGTTATTGTGGGTCATTAGCGGGCAGCCATTGTGTGCTGTCCTCTTGGTTAATGGTTTGTTAACCATAAACATGAGCTGGAGCTCCTGTTGTGTACAGAGGAGCCTAATTAGAGAGACAGCTACTGAGTTGATATATTGACAT